TCGGACGCTTAACCGACTGCGCCACCCAGGCGCCCCCCAGTTTGTAGTTTTCTTGCCAATTTTTGTTTTTCTGGCCTGATAAAATGTGTCAGGGGAGCATTCCTTCTTTCTCTGTTCTCTGGGGAAGGCTGTGTAAGTTTGGTATGCGTATGTGTGCCTGTGTGTTCACATGTGTGCTCACGTGTTTGTGGATGTAGGTGTGTCCATATGCCCACGTTTGCATACGTGTGTTCACAGGTTCTTGTGTGTGTATGTGTGTGTTCCTGTGTGTAGGTGTTTCTGTGTCTGTGTGTGCTCAAGTGTGTGTTCACATGTTCACATGTATGTAGGTCTGTCCATGTGTCTGTGTGTGCGTTCACATATTTGTGTGTGTTCACGTGTTCACATGTGTGTAAGCCTGTCCATGTGTCTCTGCGTGCGTGTGTTCCTGTGTTTGTGCGTGTATATGTGTCCATGTGTTCACGTGTGCGTTCACATATTTGTGTGTGTTCACGTGTTCACATGTATGTAGGCCTGTCCATGTGTCTGTGCATGCATGTGTGTTCACGTGTTTGTGTTTATATGTGTATATTTGTGCCTGTGTGTCCACATGTGTGTTTGCATGTTCACATGTATGTAGGTGTGTCCATGCATGTGTGTGTGTATTTTTATGAGTACATCAGTGTTTGGAGGCATTCATCAGTGAAACTTTCCAGACTCAGTTCACTTTGTGGAAAAAACTTTAATTGTGTATTCAACATATTTTATACATACGGCATTTAGAGTTTCTATTTATCCCTATTCATCATTTTGCATTTTTGAGAATTGTCCATTTCCTCTACATTTTCTAATGTATTAGCACAAAATCGTTAATAATATAATAATAAGTAATAAAAATAAACAATAATTCTGTTATGTATTTAAAGTCTATAGGATGTGATGCTGTGCTCATAATGTCCTTTTTCTCTGTCTCTGTCTGTCTCTCTCTCTCTCTCTCTCTGTCTTTCTTGGCATTGTGGCTAGGATTTATGAATATGTTTCATGTTTTCACGAATAAACGTTTTGGGCTTTATTGATTATGCTCTATTTTTTGTTTGTCTTCATTAGTAGCTACTCTTATCGCTATAATTTCCTGCCTTCTACCTTGATTTGGAATAATTTGCTGTTTTTTCTAAATTCTTGGTACAATAATTTATGCCATTGACTTTTTAGGCTTTTTCTTTTCTAATACGTTCGTTCCTGGTTGCTAATTTTCCTGCGCCATAGGTCTGATGTGTAACATTTACATTATTCAGCGTAAGCATTCTCCCATTTCCATTTTGGTTTTCTTATTTCACTCACGGATTATCGAGAAGTCTGTTGCTTTATTTCCAAAATGTAGGGGCTCTAGCTATCTTTGATGGCAGAATCCGGTCACTCCCAGAGGGTCCCAGGAGTTCTTACTGGTCTATGTTAGGAGTCCAGGCTGGCTGGGGCCATTAGGCGGCCTCCGTGGGCAGCTCCTGCGCCTCCTGGGGTCCCCGCGGTCCCCTCCCTGGAGTGTGGGCTGTGGGTCCTTCCTGGGCTAGCGGATGGCCAGAGCAGCATACACGCTGGGCTCTGCTGGAGGCTCCCCGGCTCGGGAGGAATGGGGTGCACTCGTCTCCCGTCTGAGCGTCAAGCGGTTCAGCTGGGCGTAGGTCACATCTGGGGGGGCGTCAGATGCGGCAGCCTGCAGTGGGCGGAGGGAGAGGGGAGGTGTGTGGTTGGGGTGGGGCGAGCCTGGGAGCCTGGAGAAGAGAGGACCCACCTGACTGTCCAACTGCCTGTCTTCCTCTGCTTCTGTGTCCGGCAATCCCCCCCACAGGGGGGAAGGAGAAGTGGCCGGTCCCCGACTGAGTCTTGATCTTGAGTGGCTCACCTGGGCATACGTCGTTCCTTGGGGGTCTCCATCCTCCGCGTCCTGCTGGGGACAGACAGTGAGGGGGAGATTCGTCTCCTTGATTCCACTGGACAGCCTCGGTGAATTTTCCACACTGTTGCCAGAGTGATGCTTTCGAACTTTTAGGCAGCTTAGGTCAATCTCCTGGTGGACTCCTCAGGGACTTCCTGAGCCTTGGGGCATCTGGGTGCTTCCTACGGCTCTGAATCTGTTCCTGACACTGTTTCTTGCTCATTTGGCTCCAACCACATGGCCGCCACCCCCACCTTCCCGAAAACGCATGTTGCCGCCTAAGGACCTTTGCGCCTGCTACCCTCACCTCCTGCCTTATTTTCCCCAGCCACACTTTGCACTCCAGGACACTGCCCACTTCCTCGCATACGGTCTGTCGCCCACAAGGTGAGCTCGCCGAGCGTGGGTCAGGTTTGCTCACTGTCGTGCCTGCAGCACTAGGTGGGGCCTGGTAAACGGTGGGCTCTCTGTGCACATTTGCCGGGCAAATGAACGAATGGGGCCTAGAGACCTGCGGGTGATTCCTTTCTTCACGCACCCTCTTGAGACCCGGGCGAGCACCCCAACAACCGGAAGTCCGACGGCGGGTGAGGACCAGTCAAGGGGGGCACGTGGGAGGCCCCGCGAGGTCACGGCAAGAGGCCCCGGGGTGCCCAAGGAGGGAGAGGGCACCCGTGGGACACCGCCACGACCGGGTGGTGTGAGGACACAGGAGTGTCCGTTGGTTTACTTTTGGCACCAGGAGGGCCCTCGGGGTCTGCACGGGAGCAGGGGTCTCACCCGCTGGTCCAGCTCCACCCCCTCCTCGGGCTGTGCGTCTTGCACGGCGGCATCTGCTGGGGCAGAAAGGGGGGCGTAGCTCTTGGCAAGGTCCCCTGGGCTCACACCCCACCCCGCGGTCCAGGGGCTCCAGTGGCGGGTGAGGGGCCGAGGCCACACGTGCAGCAACGCCGTCCTCACTCCCAGCCCCCAGCCCCTCCCAGCCCCCACCCCCCGGGGCGGCCCCACTCCTCTCACAGAGGGTCTCCTCCTGGGTGGCGGCAGCTGGCCCGGAGCTGGGGAGGAGATGGGGTGTTAGGGGGCACAGACGGGCAGGCGGGTGGGGGCCCGGGGGTCTGCGGGCACGAGTTACCTGTCCTGCAGGCCTCTGTCCTGGGGCTCTGGGTCTGCGGCCCCTGCAGGAAGTTGGGAATCAGCCTCCCCCTGGGCTGGGAGGTTACGGACCCCTGCCACGTGATCCCAGAGGAAAGGAACCCTTCACACATATTGCCCGTGTTTCAACATCTCCCGAGACGGAAGAGAAGAAAACACCTCCAATTGGCACATGGGTGCCGACCTTAGGTGTTTTCTTTCTAGCCTCTCCGACGTGAGACTCTGCAGAAGTGTCTTTCCACGCTGGCCTTTCCCGCGTCTGGTTTCCCTCTGGCTGGCGCCCTGAGCCACTCTCCATCC